CGCCATGTGTTGTGATGTCTGTTTTTGTTTATAAAGTCGCGAGTTCTTACCATGGAGTGATGATGTAGGCAGAGCCGGCCCGACCCATTAAGCGACATAAGCGGCCGCTTAGGGCCCCGCAGCCACTAAGGGGCCCCTAGCAAAAAAAATAAAAAATTCAAAAAATATATACCGTCGCCGTGATAAGTATGTTTAATTAATTGTGTTAATATGCCTAGATTGCCTACTCTCAAAGTCATGTATTATATTATTGAGTCAATAGTATAATACATTAACCGTGCTTTACCTGAACCTCATCATGACACAAGAGAGGACAGCAGGATTGTAATTTCCCGTGTTCAGTGAATGCAACAGAGGCAAGACACCAGACGAACCAGAGAGTTGAATGGAAATAAACATCTGTCTTATTGGCTGACAGGTACCTATCCTGTGAGCTGTGACAATGTTTAAAATAAACTGTCAGTCGGACTCAGAGTTTTTGAAGATGGACATAAGAAAAAATGTCTTAAAAAAGACGACAATTCTCAAGTGGTGGCTCACACAACAACCCCAGAGCCACCACTTGAGCCAGGTAAACAAGGTATGTAAATCTCAGTAAACTTCCAAGTTATGCGAACATGTAAGCAAAGCATACATTACAGCTACGTTGACGTTACTTTGAATCGCGGGCGTAAGCTAAACCGTTAGCAAGTAATTATAGCTAGCCAGATATATTAAATAAACACTTTGTCATACAATCTAAATGTAATGTTTTTTGGCATTACCTGGTGATTTCAAAGAAAGCTCTCTGGGAAATGTACAGTACACAGTTGATCCGGAGTCCTGTCAGTTAAAGTGTTTCATAGTTAGCTTAGCTAAGCATCAGCCTAGCACTGAAATATATGGATGTTATGTGACAGTATTTCTGAGAAAAAGTCAGCTGAAATGGTGGCATGGTTGCCACTGTTTTACGTGTCGACAGCACGTTTGAACGTATTTGCAGCAGTAAATGTGACTGTTTGGCCACTGACGTTGCCATAACAACACCTGAATTTAAATACCTCTTTTTGTGACAGATTTTTGCAAGAAATTATAATTCTTCTGAATGATATTCCTATTGACAGCTAGTTTCTATGTGAACATTATGAGATGGACAGCCAGAGAGAATAAATGAAAAACAGTTATGAAATAATATATGACAAAACAAGAATACAGTTTGAGTGATTTGTAAAATATCCATAAAGAAAAATCTGTTTACAGTTCTGTATCATATGGGTGTTGAGAGATGTATCCATAGATCTCTTAATGTTGCTCTCAAAGTGCACCAGATTGATGCTTTTAACTTCAATATTTAAAAATAAATCTTCCCGGGGGAGCTAATGCTAACATCATAAGACAAAAGTTGGTTCCGTGTTTTGTGTAGTGAGAACGTGCTAGAGTGAGGGGGGCCCCCAAGCCAAAGCTCGCTTAGGGCCCCCAAAAGTCTAGGGCCGGCCCTGAATGTAGGTACCGATCGATTCTGTGTCTTCTCACGATGCTAGTCGATATGTTGGATGTGCAGTTACGATAAGTAATAAGGGTGTTAAACCGTGTTTTCTGTGCAAGCGCTGTTAGCATTTTTTCGCTCGTGGCTAATTCAGAGGCTCAGTTAGCTGAGTTTCTTCCCGTTACATGGATATAAAACATTCATCGATTATTAAATATTAAGAAGCCCTTAGACGCTGTTTCCTGCAGATGATGCGTTTTCCGGGGCGGGGGGATGGGGTTCAACAGGTTAACGTCTAATATATTGCTTTCCTGCAATGTTAACTATGTTGAAGCACTTATTTTAAATGATAGTATACATATTAATTATACTCTTATGTATGTAGATAGCAGAGGTGGGGACTCGAGTCGCATATTTTTGGACTTGAGGCTTGCTTGACTAACATTGATAAAAGACTTGACTTGGACTTGATATTCATGACTTGAGACTTGACTTAAGCTTGAGACAGATGACTTGAAAGGACTTGACTTTTTAAAATTAAATATTTGCGTTTGTTTTTGTATTGAGATATTAAATTTAGTTTTTTTAAACGTGATTGGGTGATTATAGCGCCGTGCGCGCTAACCTGGCAACCCACTAGACGGCAGGAGTCTCAGTTAACATGGCAGCGGCTAGCGTTACTCCAAAAATAGTCAAGTTTGGATTCAAGGATTATTTTGTCGATGACGCTAATAAGAAGAAAACAGCGGTATGCAGGGTCTGCAGCATAAAGATCAGTGACACGACCACCACAACATCCAACTTCATTCGTCACTACAAAAAACCCCACAGAGAAAGGTGCGTGAATGTGTTGTGTTAGCTAGAAAGCTAACGTTAAGTTTAAGCTACGTTAGACTTGGTTTCAAATCGATTAAGCATTGCGAAGAGAAGACAAAACGGTAAATGAACACTAGAACGGCCAAGGGATTCATTTTGACCAGGGCTCTCCAACACGTCGATCTTTTCAGTAGCTCGCCGCTCGATTATCGATTACGGCCCGTCCACACAGCAGCTTTTGGCGATTTGTCCACCGCTTCCAGCGCGTCTCCGCCCATTGACTTTGAATGGGGATGACGTCACTTTCCCTCGCTTGTCGCCGAATTGCATTGTGGGGGGGCGAGGCGAAGATTTCCAGGATTTCCAGGATGTTCAGGATTCCAAAGTTGAACATTGTTCAACTTTTGAGGCTGAGCTGGAAGCGACAGCCAATCAGATCCGTTTATGCAAATCTGACAGTTCAAGCGCTAGCCAATCAAACCGCGTACAAGCTGGGAGAACGAGACCCGCAGTTCATTTCTATATTCCACAAAAATGGAGGAGAACTTAGTTATTGCGGTAGCAAATCACCCGGTTCTTTATGACCAGTCCCTATTTACTTACCGGGATACAAACCGGAGGAACCAGGCATGGGGGGAGGTGGCAGAGGCAGTGGGTGAAACTGGTAGGTTTTCGCTCGTTTGGGGATTTTATATCCAGTTTACTTCGTTGCTAGTTTACTTCGTTGCTAGCAAGCATAGACAGTATCATTAGCCAGCATGGAATGTAGCATAAAATAGCACCATAAACATTAATCTCATAAATGTTCAAAATGTTAAAAAAATAAATGTTCATCATAGCCCTTCCTATTTGACAATAGTGTAGAAGAACCGGGTTTTTTTGCTTTGTATGTCGGGGGCGGGATATTCATGTGATATTCATGTGATTGGTTGTTGGTCGCGAAATCCCCAAGCTGTCAGACACGCCCAGCTCCAGGATTTTCAAGATTTGGTCAAAGCTGCTGTGTGGACACACCGTTATAGCGCAGTAAGGTTGCTTCTTGATTTTTCGGCCACGGCCGGACAATAACGTTTTTTTATTTTAGAATTGTTTCTGTCACACGAATATCAAATTGGTCCGTGACGCAGTGGTCAAGGAACAGACGTGACAGTGGCACAGCGACACCACACACGGAGCAGTCTGCTTTCTCCAACAACACCAGTCCAGAACCAACAGCAGAATGACCCGCTCTGAATCAGACCCTGTCGCTGCGGCTCAGAGACACACAGGGAGGGATTTGTGGTTTTAGAAAAACACTCGTTATCATCATGTCAGGTTTTTGGTGGATTTAATCAAGTCTTAGATTGCAGAGTATGAATGTCCTCTTGCTATTTTCAGTTGATAAATACTTGTGTAAAGTTTGTGAAGGCAGGAGGGAAGCTTCCGCGATCACCGGCTGTGTCTCAATTCAGGGGTTGCATCCTTAGAAGGGTGCATTCGTAGACCGCACACGTCACTTCCACCGAAAGAAGGCTGTCCCAATTCAAAAAAAGACGAGACTCCTCCGAATGCGGCCCACGAATGCAGCCTACTTTTCCCCAATTTGAAGGATACATCTGATGTACACTCCGCGGCCTACCATATCCCAGGGGGCAATGCGCGCAGGGAAGAGGGAGTTTTTTTCAAATGAAATGGCTTCCGTTCTCCCCAGCAGAGTGGATTTAAAAGCAGCAGCATGCGGAGGAATCACTAATAAATGTGAGTATTGGGTTTTAACATACTTTAAATTAACTAACGTCACACAGGTCAAACCCAAGGTGCATTACAACGTACATTTCCGTTAAATAATACGGATACATATGTGACGCTAACTAGCTAGCTGGACGTACTGCACTGTTGTTTACACTTGTTTTTTTAAATTCAATTCAGAAGTTTATTAAAGTCATACAGAGATCTTGGCTCTGTTATAGATAAGTTATACTTTATATTACATACATAGACCAAAGTGAAAACATTTAGACCGGTATAGCCTACAGTACGGTGGGCATTATAAAATGCTACCCTGACGTCTGCTGTTAGCTTTATTTATTTTTCTGACATGTTCCAATGTTTTACTGTTTATTAAACTTTGGGACAAAATTACAACCTTTTTATTCAGCTCATGCTGCTTTGAGGTAGGGCTAAAAGAAAAGCCTATTTTAAATATTTCCACCAGATTTGATCATCTTTTATTTAGGTTAAAGTTTATTTAATTTATCCTAATCCCATAATAATAAGACAATCAAAAATAGACAGCAGCCTTTTGCTTGATTTTAGTTTGTGCTGTCAAAGGGATGCACGTGTGACTGTCATTTCATCTCTTTAGTTTTTTAAAAACCAGAACAGTACATCATTTTAAATGATCCCTTAAGAATTGTTTGTCTGAAATGCTTAGTTACATTTTGCAATAATACTTTTGCAATTGTTAGAAATTAAAATCAATGTTGGTAATTTGAATTAAATACACTATTTAATTTAAATCAGTTTTATTCTGAAAAACCGGAAGTTCACTAACTATTAACTTAATACTTTTATTCTGACAATTATTCATTTCCGGTTAGCATTAGCATGTGGCGAAATGCTGCATTTTCAAACCGTGAATCAAAGGTGAAATGACATGTGATGTTGTACACCGAGCACACTGGGTTCAGCACTCATTTATTACCGCTGAATAACGTTTATTAGGAAATAACCACAGACACCAGAATGATATCATTTAACAACAGAAAAAGGCAGAAATTGCATTGGACCCGCCCCCGACGACGCCGGCCAATAGGAGAAGACCTCCGATGACAACAGGAAGAGCAAGCCAAGGATTGACCTCTTTCTACCGGGTGACCTGGACTGACCGGGTGGATGAGGAGAGCGCCTCCACTCGCACATTTCATTTTGTACACCACCGCATCTTTTGTGTAATTAAATGCTGTTAACTTTTATAAGCTTCCCTTGACTCTTTTCAGTCTCTCCTGCCTTCGGGGTTATATAATACACTAACACAACCCTGTGTTTAATATGATTAATTCACTTTTTTCTTTTTCTCTGTAATTAGGACAATTCTGGAGAAATGGATCTGCTGGAGAAGGACCCCTAATCTGAAAAGTGCACAGCGGATCATCAGGACAGAGCTTCCATCCACCTGGACCCCCCGAGGTGCTGGAGAAGGACCCCGAACCCCAATGGATCATCAGGACAGAGCTCCATCCAGCTGGACCCCCCAAGGTGCTGGAGAAAGCAAAACGGCGATCAGGAACATCCTCCACCCAGACCTCTGCTTACTGCCGTCCTACAGACTTGTGTCTTACTTTCAGAATTTGATTTTGTATGTGTCCTTTCTTTTAATATCTAACAATTATAGCTTGAGTCTGTCTGATTCCCCAAACAGCTGCTTCTATATACTTGCTGCACATATAATAAAAATAAACAACTCCATAAACACACTTTTGCTGATATTTGTTTTACTGCTGATGATGTTAAATAACATGATTGATTTCCTCTGTCTCAATGATGAAAGTTATAATAATAGAAGACATGAAGCTGCAGAGAGAGGATGGATATATTCTTACCTCTACTTTGTGATAAGATGAAAATACAATATTAAACACATTGTTTATTTCATTTACTGAGGTTTTAAAGATTATTTACAACATGTGTATAAGCAGTGGAATAATAGGATATCTCTAGGTCATTAAACTGTCTTCAGTTTAATTTTATTAATACAAGAAATAGGTCAAAGAAAATGTTTAATTGTGTATTTCAGCAGAGCGGGGGGCACGGTGCTGCTGGACCTGGAGGTGCTGACCTGGGGTCAGTGGGACATCATCTGGGCAGGTTTAGGGGAAGAAGGAGAATATAAACTGCTATAATCACAGCTATTAAGATTAGAACACTAATATTGTTAACAATCAATCTATACAACATGCTTTTGTTCCTTTAAAAAACATATTGTTTTATTAGTACAGAAAAATTAAGACTTATTTTAAATATATTAAATAATATGATTAAATTACATCAGCTATATATAATTTACTTGTTAACTTACTAATGTAACATTACTGGGGGCTAAAGGAACAGCTTCTTCTTATTTATCTGGCCATGGTTCTCTTTATTTAATCTCCGACGGCGATCTCCAAAAATTGTAAAAGTAAAGTTTCTGGATCCTTTTCAGCTAATTTGCTAGCAGGCTGCTGGAGCAACGCAACCGAACAGCGTGTATCATGTGACGTAAATACGAAGCGCTCCGTAGGCTAGACCGTCTCATTTCGTAGGCCGCTCGGTCCAGCCTACGCGGTCTCGTCGGCCACATCCTGTGTCGACCGCGTAGGCTACGTACCTCGAAGGATACAACCCCTGAATTGAGACACGGCCACCATCTCCTCTCCGTTCCTCCAAACCCCGCCCCCTCACTGAAAATAATGAGTGACAGGCTGATAGTGACCCGATAGAAACTTTATTATTCACTTAATCACTGATTGAGATATGATGAAGCTAACTTAATCTCATACATTCATGGGATTTATGTAACAGTAAGACATAGAATGTAAGTGTGTACCCACATGCACTATTTTTGTTTTTATAATGCTGTTAATACAACTGTTGTCTGCTGTGTTCAGACTTAAGTCATGTGTGTGATGCCACATTCAGGACATTCAGTATCCTTTTTGTAAACAGAAGACCGTTGCTAGAAGCTGCAGCTAGACTGCAGAAGTATTCGTTTTTTGTTTTTGAGGAAGGAACAATTTCACACACAGATATAGGGAGGTTAGACCTATTTATTTATTTATTATATGGTTTATAATTTAATGTCAAGACGAAGAAGAAGAAGAAAAAGATGGCTGAACTGTTCAGTGTCAATCCTGTGGAGATGGAGATGGAGGTTATAAATCTCCAAAATCATGTTCAGCTTAAGTCTCAGCAAAACTCACAACCTTTCTGGAGCCTTGTAGACCCAGAAAACTATAAGAACATTCACCAAGCAGCACTGAACATGTCTGCTTTATTTGGTTCTGTTCTACATACATTTGTGAAGCAGCTTTTTCTGACATGAATGTCATGAAATCTAAATACAGAACAAGACTGACTGATGAACATTTAAATGACTATTAGAGTGAACCTAAGTGGCTCCACTCCAGCATACACCTCTATGGTGGACTCCATGCAGCGCCATTCATTTCACTAACTGTGAAAAAGAGTGAAAGCTCTTATTTTACACATGTGCCATAAGATGCTTGTCAGGTGGTGATTAAGGACATTTATGTGAATTCTCAGTGATGTACTTACTATGTGGGCCATAATAATATGTGAAGTTAAGATTTGTGATAAGCTTTAGGTATTGCAATTTCACACGTGTACAAAAGTATAGCTTAATTCAACTGATGAGGGCTATACCAATATATATATATACTATGGTAGCTCTTGGCCACTTTCATTTTGTCAAAGTAGCTCTCAGATGAAGAAAGGTTGGAGACCCCCGATTTTGACTAACCCTGATACTGACGGGCTGTCGAGAGAGAGAGAGAGAGAGAGAGAGAGAGAGAGAGAGAGAGAGAGAGAGAGAGAGAGAGAGAGAGAGAGAGAGAGAGAGAGAGAGAGAGAGAGAGAGAGTAGAGAGAGAGAGAGACAGACAGACAGACAGACAGACAGACAGACAGACAGACAGACAGACAGACAGACAGACAGACAGACAGACAGACAGACAGACAGACAGACAGACAGACAGACAGACAGACAGACAGACAGACAGAGGAGAACCATGTCTGCATTAGGCCTATACATTGTTTATGTGCCAGTGTGTCCATGGTTTTGAGTCTGTGTGTGTGTTGACCGCCTAGCTAAAGTAGGACTAAGCATACCGGTAGTTTCTGTGGACCTGTCTGCCCGTTTTGTGAGTGCACTGTGCGCATGCGCACTTGTGTGGCATTGTTTGGGATTACCTAATTAAAATAGCGATAGAGAGAGAAGTTACTGTAAACTTTTGAATAATGTAGTTCATCTACTTTTAATGGTTTGTTTAAATGTTTTAATTATGTTGTTTTTGTTTGTAGAAGTGCATCATTCCTTGATTTATTGTAAAAATGAATCTGAACTTTTTTATCTGTTATGATGATAAACTGAAGCAATTTCAAAATTAACTCAATTAACTGAGTTTGAAATCATCCTACTTAGTTTATAAGGACATTATGAAGAGGAACAAATTAAATGATTTGAAAATGATATCTATGTAGGTGCTGACGCTGTTGGCGGTTCTAGTGTTAACAGACATTTAAATTAAATATGTGTAATGGCAAATGCCATATATGATTTTCTTACCTGGAATTCTGCCTTTTTGAACAGACTTTTTGATTGAGTCCTAGCTATATTGTCTGCAGTTCTAGGGTTAATATTGATCTAATATGATTGTCATCGGTCTAAATTAGATTTCAAATAATTAACTGTGTATGTAATGAAGATCATAGTGTGGGTTGAATCCATTTTCATAACTTCTGTATTTTAACTGATTTAAATGCGGAAACTGGGCTTATTCATCAGAATTTTGTATGACTTGACTTGCTTGACCTGAGCAATGACTTGACTTGATTGACTCTCACCACAGTGACTTGGGACTTGCTTGATACTTGTAGGTCAAGATTTGAGACTTGCACATGTAGGACTTACTCCCACCTCTGCTCGATAGAATAAGAAATGTGCAGAATATGACAGTTTAATGGTGGAGGTATACACACATATTGATAGATGTCTTGTAATGCACTGTTGAGGAACCTGCGACCCAAGTTTTTCATTAATTGCATACACCGTAGTTGTCTATATGATATGTCTTGAAATCTTGAAAGGGATGTGCAAAATAGCCATTATATACAGTTTTTAATTAACGAGTAATGAATATGCTTTATAGGGATCTGCGGATAAATGTTTAAAAAACGGGGGCAGGTCCGAGTCCAGTTTTGGATAGTCTGCCGTGGGTTTCATTCAATTTCAAAGAGCTGTCTGACACTCGGCGTAATCTTGGCACACTGCCACTCCAACATCCAATCCCAGAGCTTGAAGATTAATCACAGGTTTTTTAAAGAACGGGACTGTAGTCCCAAACGATGGTTAGTGTAGTGTCTTCGGCCATCCTAAACTCCGAAATGTTTTTCGGATTTCATATCGCATTAACACCTATCCCAACGTGCATTGCTGCTAAAACATCCAATCACTGAGCTTCAACCATAGCTGAGGATCTTGGGTAATCAGTTCAGTGGGTGTGTATCGCAATGATGCTCGAAATGTCCCTTATAGGCCTACAAAAAGCCAGAGATTATAGAATTAAACAAATAAATAAAAACAAGGATAATTGTGTGTTATTGGTGAGTAAATAACAGTGTGTTATTTAGAAAAGAATAACAAATTAGAAGGAAAAAAATATTTTAAAAATACAGATTTCAGTATTCTGAGGCTCCGAGCCCCATTTATTTTCCTCGCGGACGGCAAAAAAAATCCGACATTATACGATTTAAAATAAAAACAATAATCGTGGCTTGATATTGAGTAAGAACATGTTTTTATGAACCCCACAGCTTCCGGTCTTCCAAGACCGACCAGACAAAAAGACGTGTTGCAGGCACGAAACATACTACCAATAAAAATACATTGCTTTTAAAATCGTTCTGTGTGACACGAAAAAAAGGGGGAAATCCTGTTGGTGAACACGAATCAATAGATTAAATGTCGTGACTATAACACGAAATGCCGTGAGATTTATGGTTGGAGTAAGTTAGCATTTAGCTGAAACCACTACTGCGCCTCAATATCCCTTAAAGATCTTAAGCTTCAAAATACCCTTTTCATTACATATTTTTCATCTTTCAACAACTTCCTTCTATAAAAAAAGCTTGTCTTAAACACAAGTGCACCAATTGACCCTTTTCAGAAACAGGGTACACAACGTGCAGATTGAGCCAAACTAGATGCCCTGGTCTGTCAACTTCAAAATAGTCCTGTCACTTGTAATACCCTCCCCACCCCGGCTGATCGATGCAGGTATTTCTATCCTGTTGTCAACATGCTCTCCAGGACCATCTTTTTTATTTTCGACTTGGAAAAGCACCCATGGTTGTCGGTCCAAGTGCAAGTCAGGGCCGGCAGTTATTTCCAGCTCCAACATCCCTCTACTAGCCGAATGTCAGGCAGCTAAGGCGGCCGTTTGTGTGCGTTCAGTGAACCCTGATAGGGCCCTTCACGACTGACAGTCAGCCTAATCACGTCTTAACTGAGCTTTATCTAAGTGTGTGTGTTAGAGGACTGAGGGAATGTGTGTGTGTGTGAGTGTGTTATAGAGGACTGAGAGAAAGTGAGACTGATCTCTCTATTTCTTGCTGGGCTTACTCTGAGGGCAGGCTTCAGAACAAGTAAGAGCTGTCATATTTCAACGCTACCTCACCCGGCTCCCTCCAGACTTCAG